TAGTCATAATTTATAACTACTCAAGATATCACAAATCCAAATCCATCATGCCGAATGAATTGAACAGCAACGTAGAAACCAAATTGGTAATGATTTTTAAAGCGAATCCATATTTCAATTTCCATATTGGGTGCGCCTACTTGGCTCAAATTTTAGGAACACTGCACTGATTCCGTCTGGTCTATTCTTGAGCCCAGAGCGAGAGGGGTGCGACACATCTAAATCTCGATTTTAAATGATCGAAAAATCTGACACTAGCGAATCAATCTACGAAAAATCTTTTTTCATCTCTTGCATCTAAACCCATCTACTTGTATCGCCCTCCACCTTTTTGCAGGAAATCTTCAAAATCATAATCAATCGTGTTTCTATCTATTAAGCGCGAGTGCATCTCACAACAGCAAAGCAAAAAATTTCCTGCATCTTAGATAGAGTCGCCCCCCTCGGTCCAGAGCCTGTACTAAGTCACACATATCTTTAGATCATCTGAGAGCAAGTTTGACAAAAGTTTGGGATGCAATATCTGTGGAGGAACTAACGTCCATCGTCGATAATTTCCCTAAGAGGTTGAAGGCGTGTGTACGAGTCAAAAAATCACATGTTGAGAAATTGTTGTGAATATCATAAACTATGTTGCTGTACCCACATTTCCCATACATATGTTTTAATTCAATACACAAGCAATAAAGTTACGACTAAATCATTAAACACGGATAATTATTCCTCACCCTGTAGAATGTATTTGATCACTTTAATTTTGATTGACTTGATTGAAAAGCAATAAAATCAAATCATTTAAAGTTTATTTTCTTAAATTAATAATGTAACATATTTTCGGCCGCCGGCAAGTCAACAAGCTACATCCAAACACTGACTATCCAGTGCCCGTCTCGATACTGCCAAATTATCAGCCAAGCCAAACCATGTTGGCTACGGTTGATTGAAACCAGGGCATTCCGCTGACATACACTGCCGTTCTACGCATATCTGTCCCATGTTTTAAAAGTAACATCTGAGAAAATCGCGCATAATGTTTGGATTCTTTTCTGCTCATTGGAAGACATATAAGTTAAATTAAGCTAGTACATTGTTCACATTTCAACAGAATCAATATATTTTAGTAAAAACTACAGACATTACATTCAATGAAATTAGTTAAGCCAATTTTTGTACGGAAACAATTCAGTGGGACTGTTATGCCGAGAAATTTAATCTGAAGTAGGAAATTCTACGCATATCAGTCCCACTAAGAACTATTACTCTCCGTGTTGCTTTGATGGCCACGTTGCGTTTGACGTCTTTACTCTTGTGGTTGTGGTTGTGTTTACCTGGACGTGCTTGAGTTCTCCGCGAAGTTTTGAAAGTGGATAGTTTGCATAGATTTGCATCATTAACTGAATCCAACAATAAGTGAGTTGACATTGCTGCAATCGTCGTTTGCTACATCTATAAAGCCTTTAAAGTATAAGTATCTTGAGAAACAAATGATAAATGCTCTGTGTAGAACACAATAAGATTGTCGATCATGAACTTCAATGATTTCAAGAAAGACTTTGGATAAGTTAACATTCATAGTAAGGATTTCTTCCGTACGGAGTTGACTTTTATACATGTATTATTATATTCAACCAAATACATCCACGGCAGTTTATTGAGAACATTCTAATGATTAAATTTACGAAAGGACGATAAGACAACGGATGTTCTGACTTAGTTAACAGGATTCTTATTTTATCTACAAAATATGGTAGAAGCTATCAACTTGATGAATTATTGCGACACATTCAACAGGGCATAACTTTTTTACCATTGGGTAAAAATCAACCAAATTTTGTACACTTTCTCATTGATGTGTATTGTGTACATGCTGTCAAACTCGAAGTCGTATTTTTCGATTCAACGAAAATGGAGGTGAACCAACGCGAGTTGAGAGAACAAATTCTTTCCAAACACCTGGAATTTCCTGACCTGTCGCACCGGTAGTTGGGAAAAATGTTGAACATTCACCATTCAACCGTCTCCAGAGTGTTGAAGCGGTTCCAGGAGCGGTTGACGTTGGACCACGGCAAAGGAGCTGGAAGAAAACCGGGACCGGAGAACACAAAGACGGAGGGAAAGGTGAAGCGGATGATTAAAGCAAATCCCAACGTCTCAAGCCGTGATTTGGCTAAAAAGATCGGCATGTCGCAGAGCTACGTCCAGAATGCAAAGAAGAGAGCTGAACTACATACATACAAGGTACAGAACTTCCCAAACCGCGATGAGCGGCAACAATCGACGGCTAAAACTCGGGCACGGAAGCTCTACGAGAAGATGCTGACAAAATATGGCTGCTGTGTGATAGACGACGAAACGTATATAAAAGCCGATTTTAAGCAAATTCCGGGGTTGAAGTTTTTCACCGGCAAGAGCAAGTTCGATGTGGACGACAAATTTAAGAAGAAGAAAATGTCGAAGTTCGCCTCCAAATATCTCATTTGGCAGGCCATCTGCTCTTGCGGACTGAGGAGTGAGCCTTTCGTGACAAAGGGCACAGTAAATGGCGAGATCTACAAATCTGAGTGCCTCGAGAAGCGCTTTTTGCCGTTCTTGCAGCAGCACGACGAAGCTTCGCTATTTTGGCCAGATTTGGCATCATGCCACTATTCTAAAAGTGTCCTGGAGTGGTATGAGGCCAATTCTGTCCATTTTGTTCCAAAGGACATGAATCCGCCAAACTATCCGGAGCTGCGCCCGGTGGAGCAGTACTGGGCAATAATGAAGCGGGAACTTCGGAAGAGCAAGAAGACAGTCAAAGACGAGAAGGACATGTTAAGAAAATGGAAAAAAAAACTGAGAAACTGGTACCGGATGACACTGTAAAGACTTTGATGGAGGGCATCAAGCGAAAATGCGTTCAATTTTACACTCAAGGCTCCATCGAATAACTTTTCTTTTGATTTTTGAAGTAAATATATGTATAAAACTACCCTAAAATTTTGGTTTGATTCTAAACATTATAAGAAAATTGGCATGACATTTTCGGTGTCGCAATAATTTCGTGTTCGCCCTTTACATACAACTGAATTTTAAAATAATGTTGTTTTGTATTTGGTTTATTTCAAGATTATTACATTGCATCTTATCCTTTTGATTATTACTCTACTAATGCACAGTTTGGAATCTGAACTCTAATCTGGTGTGTAATATGAATTCCAGTTTCTCTTAATATTTTTCATCATAAAATAAAGCCGAAATGGCTCATAAAGTTTCTTTTGATCATTAAAATCCTGTTTCAATAATTCGTGCACTCAAATCGATCCGTTAATAATAGGTTCTGTAAAAAAAATCTTTGTGGGGCAGCAATGCGTAGGATTTCAACATGGGTCAGTTAGACTTTTTAAATAAGCCCAGAACAAATAAGATGTTTGTCTATTTTCAGTTTACCTAAAAAAGTACTGTTTTATGAACAAAAGTGAAAAACATCCAAAGGTAACATGGAACAGATATGCGTAGAACGGCAGTACATCGGGAGCGGCAGGCCGTAGCGTTCGAGGATATTGTACTTAGGTTTGGCTAAAGTCTGATCCATTTAGAATTTGGCAACACAAAATAGGTCATTTCTCTAAGGGAAATGGTAATGTAATGGCAGTTGGCTATGTCAGGCCAGAACTTTACGGGTCCTTCGTGTGATTGAATGAATGGCAAAATTATAATCTGGAGACACTCCTCCTTGTAAAGTTGTCCATTCATAGTCGCTCCAGTGATGAAAACCTTTGTTTTCTTTCCGCAACTGCAGGTGCCTTGACAAATCATCAACTTGCGAGCGAATTGATCTTCAAAGACAAATTTGAATTTATCCACAGTAAAATTTTTGGCCCGGGATTTGTTCAAAGTCCATTTTTACATAAATTTCATCGTCCATCAAAATAAATCCGTTTTACTTGGTCAGAACATGCTCGTACAGCTTCCTTGCACGGTTTTTGGCAACCAGATTTTGTTTCAGCGTCCTGTTGGAATGTTTGCTGGCATGGTACTACCGGAAACCTTCTCGCATTCAGATTCGCCGAACTGTACTGTGTGCCGCACTGAACCTTTTCGCCAAATCACGACCGGAGATCCCAGGATTCTTTTGGACTAACCTTATGACCTTCGCTCATAGCTTTCGGTCATATGTTCCACTTCTACGTTTGTTTTGTTTTGCACGATCCAACGTTAGTGTTTCCCGTTAACGTTTAAGCACGGTATTAACAGTCGATTTTGGAAATTTGAGAGCCTTTGCAATCATTCCTCCTGACCACGTTGGATTTTGCCCGTGTTTTTTCACGTCTATCACGTTCCATCTTGGATCACTTTTGAACAAGTATATGAATCCTGATCAAATTTTTACTACTAAATAAACTACCCTTCCGGATCAAAACGCTGTCAATAGTATCTTGCGACCAAATACTAACTGGAGCAGACTTTACCTCCTGGAGCGTGAAGATCTTTCAACGGATTGCGAGGCTTAATTGACTGAAAACCAACAAAAATAAAAATCATTGATAATTAGAAGACAATTCAAAAAGTAAACCTACGCGATACGCGATAATTACAAATCCATGCGAATGCCGGTTTGAGTTTGTTTTTCGTTTTGTTTTGCCTCGGTTTTGCAACTGTTTTGTTTTCTACTCATCATGTGTATTTTTAACTTGGTACACATTGAACAAGTTAAATGCCGCTATTCGGGCTTTGCATACTCTTACAGAAATTTTTTATTGAATCAATGTATAAACATAAATTTAACATAAAATGGTTAAATTTAATCTTTCGTTGTATAGTAATATTTCTGAGTGAGGGTAGGAGCACTTTAAATAATTCTATAAATTATTAATCTATCGAGTATCTAAATCAAACCAAAAGATCAAAATTATATTATCTTACTCTGACTTGTTTTTCTTCCTCTCCTCCGCGTCAATGAATGTTTCGGACAATTAAATCGTCAAGGTGTTTGCATTCAGAATAAATTTATTGTACCTTGTATAATTAGGCAATACTATATTTTATATAAAAAAAAACAGCTGAATTTAATCAATCTGACTGTATGTAAATATAATTATATGATATAAAAATATAAATCCATCAATTAAATTATGTAAAATCGAATCACTGGTAGATAAATACTTCATAATCATTGAACCAACATCCCGTTTCCAATCATCATCGTCTACCTTGTATGCCCGAGACCACCAGCTTCTCTGCACACAAATAGATGCTCGATGATTACGCTTTGAACTTTGCGTCCTCCGGGAACTGAACGCCAATTTGCTTCCTTATCTCATCTTGAATGCGGGCAATCAGAAGACTTTCCCGGTGCGACACCGAGGCCGATTCCAACCGACCAGAACCGATGCATTTGCGAACCTCCTCCGACTCGTACCGCAGCCCGCAGCTGTTCTGGAAGATGAAGTTATTCGGTGCCTTCGGGAGGGGAAATTTCTTAACCGATCCATCAACATCCGTCAGCGATACTGGGCACCAGAAGTCGTGAAGCTGAAGAAATGGGAAATGTGAGGAAACTTTTTTCCCTGCGATTTAATTCTATTGATAATAATTTGTGCAACAACGCACACACCCACACTAAATACAAGCATCTCTCACCGTAATGGCTCCCTTCGTTCCCTTTATGGTCGCCTCATTGTCGAGTTTTTTCAAAGCGCTCGTTTTCATCTTCGCGATTCCACCATTGGGGAAGTGCAACTCCGCTTCTACCTCCATGTCCACTCCTTCCTCGTTCAGCTTACCCTTGGCCACGATCTTCGTCGGCCCATCCCGGAAGGCCCACAAACACACTTGAATGGTATAGACTCCCAAATCAAGCACCGTTCCACCACCAAGTTCTTTCATTCTCAGCCGATCCACATCGGAAAGATAGAATCCAAACGTTACCGTGACTTCCTCGATATCACCCAACTCACCAGCATCGAGCCGGTTCTTCAGATGAATATAGGACGGGAAGAACCTTGACCAAATGGCTTCCATCAAAAATAGTTTCTTCTGCTCGGCATGGGCAATAAGCCGCTTCGATTGACCTTCATTCATGCAGAGAGGCTTCTCACATAGGACATGTTTGCCGTGGTTCAGCATCATCAGTCCGATGTCGTAATGCGTTGGATTTACGGCACCGATGTAAACCACATCTGAAGGGCATAGGTATTCTAAATTTATTCACTGCACCGGTTATACAACACGGAAAAAACATCACTCACCGATTTCCGGATCTTTCGCCATCTCCATGTACCCTTCGTAGGACTTGGGAATGTTGTGCGTTTTGGCAAACTTTTTCGCATTCTGGAGATTCCTTGCGCCAACGGCCACCACTTTGTGGTCTTCCTTGGGCCAAGTAGCCAGAGCGTTGGTGAAATCGTGCGATATATTACCGGCACTTGCAATTCCCCATCGAAGCGGTGCCATCTTTTTTCAAGAGCAAACAAACAAACAAACTGAGTGTGACCGTGAAAGACAGCTGATAGATGTAGTATTATTCGAAGGCAAACTACGCATGCGCCGAGCTAAACCGGTTGTCGTCGTGAACGCTTCAAAGATGACTGGGAGAAAAGCCAACGGAACATAGGAAGGCATACAGAAGTAGCGAGTGTCGACTTGTTAGTTTGCTTTTCATAGGTGAAGTGTGCCCTGCGATAAGATTGGTTGGTACTATCAATATTGTTTTATAGGAAAACTGAGTTTGTAAATATGGCTGAAGGACGGTTTACAGAAAGAGGTTGGCCATGTTATCAAAAAGATAAGAGACAAGACACGACCCGCTTGCATGCACCGGATTGAACTGATAACGAACGCTTGGCATGACTTGGATGCAAGTCGAACTAGCTTGAATACAACTTTCGTTCGCGATCGCTTTCCGTTCTCATGCATGATCATTTTTCAAAGTTAAATAGCCATTTGTGAAAAATCTGTTTTGCTTTCATGAAACCACTAAAGAACCCATGCGGCATTACTTAAAGATAAATTTCCGACTGAATTATTTTTATCTGAAGCCATTTTGTGATGAAATTTATGTGCGCTTGCTTGGAATTTTTGGAAGACTTAACCCCTGTGGTTTCCTGTCGGCAGTTTTCCGCAGTCCCAGTTTGGATCACCATCGACGCAATTTCTGGAGTAGGCTGGCCAATTTTGATTCAGAACTCAACGCAAACGCCGTTGACAATATTTTAAGTATTCCAATGGAGTCTAATTTGACGGCTTCCAGTGCTTGATGGACCGCATTCACTCCGATGTGCGGTATTAAAGGTGAGGAGGAGATGATGCATTGGTATTCGTACAATGACAACATTCAAAACAGTAGTCGTGTGGCATCGTGTTTCTTATACTTGCTACGAACGATGTGAAAAGTGGTGACGTCACGTCTGTTATTGTCAATAACTTGCTGTGCGTAAAGCCGTTTTCAATGTTAATAACTTTCGAGTTAAAAAATGTTCCACAATTAAAGCGAAATCAGAATACACAGATTGTTCTGTGATTCTTGATGAAGAATTAGCTATGGGAAAAATATACAGGAAAACAGAAAGATTCCAGAGAAAATGCTGGAACGACAGATTGTATTTACGAAGACAACGGTGATGAGCCGTGGCAATTTGTCCCTAGAGAACGTACTTTAGAAGAAGTGGATGGATCGGAGTAAGCTGCTGGCTACGTAGCACGAGGACTTTTAAAAGAATTTCCTGATCTGGCTAATTATACCCATGCACTAGAACAAGAAGCAGAGGAAGGAGTGTGTTCCAAAAAATTTGTTCTGGATCTATCTTACGGTGGTCTATTGCAGCCCACTGAGTTGTGGAGTAATGTGTGCAATCAAATTAACTCTTATTTAGATCACAAACATAATAAAGTCGGACCTTTTTTCTCTGAAGAAATCGGTTTTCTAAACGCAGTTCTTAGACAGAATAGCAGGAAATTGAAGCACATTATCAACTAACGAGTGTTCATTCGATTTTTTCATTTAGCCGTAGGTATATTCAACATATTTAAATTTCAACTTTATGCAATGAGTTATAATTTTGAACATACTTTCCAGATTAAAAACTATATCAGTCAAGGGGTAAGTAACTCAGCACATTGTGCCGAAATTATATTCGGCACAGCTTGGGAACATCCTTCGGCACAATCTCGTAGGCATTAGATTGTTGTAAATAAAATGGGAGCACTGCTGGAAAACTTTATTGAAGTTGTTCTGAACATTACGTGCTGTTTGACTGTATGTTCAGGAACATCTTCTAATTGAATATACCAGAGGAACTCAGACCAGCAGTTCACTTATAGATCTAAATACGAAATGTAGGTTCCAGAGTGGGCTCAAGAGAAAGAGACAGTTATTCAGACCCCATTAGCAGTGATTCAAATAATGATGCAACTCACACAAAACAAACTATTCATCTTCCTCTATAGCCGGTCTCCAACAATGTTCCCACCGGTTCCATCTTTTTACGGCCGCTGATAGACCGTTGTTTTTCACAGCATTAAAAGGTAGGTTTCTGGTCTGCCTTTGAGGGCATTATTAAACCCAAAAACACAGGACTTTTAACATCCCATGAACATAAAACACCAACATTTCAAACACCCGCCACTTCCCGCGTCATCCTCAATCCGATTTATCATTGCGATTTCAAGTCAAAACATTCAAGGTGTCAAAAATACCGGGTTGCCGGGATGGGTGTTTTACAAAAAATCGCAGCTTGCTCTATGACCGGCACAATCGACCCCCTCGGGCGACATGAAAAAGTTTTTGTAAGAAAATATTTTTTTCCTTAAAAGTGCCCATCTCGCAATGTATGGACGGATGGTAGTAAACATAATTACCAGTGGCGTCACGTCCACATGTGCAACCTCTGCACGACATAGGCGTAAATAATTAAAAAAAAATGCGTTTGGATTTTTATAGATTTTATGGCCACATTATAGCAGTATTTCTTTACTCCAGACCACAAGTGACCATGAATAAACTGTTTTATAGTGTGGCTCAATTGAATCTTCGACCTTGGTTTTGAAGCAAACCAGCAAAGGATTAAATTCAGTTCGGATGGTCTGCCTAATCCCTAATGCATTGATTTCTAAGCATGTCGATATCACTACCATGACAAAACTCGTTAAAGAGTGTACCTAAAGCGAGCTTTTATGAGTGGCGGGTGGCAAGTTTGTGAATGATCAAATGCCTGATGTAAGCCAAGCAGACTTTCTATCACCTCTTGAAACATTCCACAAATTTCCCACAATACATGGCGGTTTGCACCACTGGTTGCAATTGAAGCATTCAGCAGTCACGCGTCAAACGGGAGCAACACGGAAACAGCAGTCTGGTACGCTTTGGACGTGTATCATACTTGCAGACTGGTATGAATGTGTGAGTTTAAATTAGAAGAACATTTGTGATGTATGGGTGCCTAAAGTGTGCATTTCTCGCTGTGCACTTGGATATCTGATTGCAGGCAAAGAGAGCAATGGAGAAAGAGAGCGCAAAAGCTCGCTCTCACGGCTCTCACCCTCTTGTCAGTTGTAAATCTCTCAATCAAATCTCTCTGATGGTTACGCCGGTGCACCTGTCCACACTAATGAGCTTCCCTGGTCCATTCTGATAGTGTTGTTCTGATGAATAAAGAGTTGATTAATTCAAGTTTGCTACCCAGGGGACTTCAGGAATTTTCTCTAGATTATGAAACTGTATCAAAAAATGTTTTCGGAAGTGTTTGACGGATATTCTTCATTACGCTTCAGTCGAAAGAGAACTCTTCGACTTCCTTGTGATAAAAACGAGAATTAGTTAAGTTTTGCAATTCCTCCTACTTCGGTTGACACAAAAAGGACCATACAAGTTTAGTTTACACAAGATGATAGGCCCTTCAAATGTTACGTTAGGTAGTGATTAATATATATAGTTATAGAGAATATGTCCTTCGAATTCATGGAGCATTGAAAAAAAAAAACGAAAACTATTATGTGGTGGAAAACTATAACGAACAAAGTTTGGTGCACAGGTAAACAAATGAGGCACGCGACGCCTCTGAATAAGAAAAACGGTTTCAATCAATTTATCGTAAAATCAGTTTCAAGTACTTAAAAGGCACGGTGTACTATATTATTGCAAAGAAATTCATATTGATCCACTGTACAGCAGTGATGGAAAAGTTCGCGAAAACTCACTATGACGCGCGAACTTTTCCCTTGGTGAACTTCGTGAAATATCGCGAACTTTTCCAACACTGCTAAGGATACAAACATCCAATTTATAGCGATCAAAATTAGTGACTTTACAAATTTATTATTTTAGATCAGGCGGAGTGACAACAGCTCTGGAAGTGTGAATCCTAAAGGTGGCACAGTTAGGAACCAGACTGGTGAAATCAAGATCCTTTTTTCCGGGAAATTCAATGCTTGCTCTTATTACCATGGTAATTTGGCCCATTGTATGATTGGGGAATGAAATCGATTTCACTACGTCGATTACACAAACCACAAAGCTGTCAAATGATCAACTCAGTTGAATTCAATTGGCTTCAAAAGTTGAGCCTGTTTCAACTTTTTTTTTTCAACTCAAGTGAGTTAATCAAGTCAGTTGAATGGCATGGTTTACACGTTCAATTAGCCTTCCAGTCAGTTGAATTCAACTGAATTGATCAATGACTTGCCATGTCTAAGCCCAGCTTAAGACTTCTTTTCATCCGGGACGGGACTTGACAATCGAGCTTCTCACTCTTCTTAATGTTTTTGAAGAATGCCCTTGGGAAAGTTGTGCGTGGTGTTTGACTGAGTTGACCAATGATGCCAGGAATGTAAAATATTGTTTCTATTTTAATTTTGATTTTATTCGGAGTTTCACCCGCAGTTTAGCAGCTTGTACATCATGTTTGCTCAACACAACCATAAACAAACAACAATATCCATCGCTTAAAACACGCAGTGCACTCAATTTGTCAACTTTACTTTCGGAAACATAAACAATTAACAACGCCATTGACGTCAACATTGATTCCGGCATCACTGCCAGCCACAGTGATGCGATCCCTCTGTCCTTTTTATTCCACGATTGCTACTGTCAAATCGACCAATCAGAAACTTGGTCGGATTTGACAGCAAATTGGCTTGAAATCGCTACCCGATTGTCCAGTCCCGTCCCAGCTTTTCATCATCAGTCGTCGCTTACTCATCTTCAAAAAACAAAAATAGGGTTGTGCCCTAGACACGACCGCAGTATGACGTAGAACCAACAATCAATACGAAACTAACGATTTTAAATTGGCTCACTACTTGACTAGCCTATTGATGCCAAGCAAACGATTAACGTACCCCATTCTAGTAGAAATTCTAGTACTACACAATGTTTGTTTTGATTCGATATGAAAATTTGACAGATAAAATTAGGGGTTAGTGGATTTTCCTATGTTTCGAGGGGTGAATCGATTAGCTTGGGACCCAAGAGAGTACCAGAGCTGAGCCAAAAAGTTGAGCACGTTTCTTCGGGACCTTCTAGTCTTAGAGTTACCTCTATGGTAGAACTGCGCAAAATTGATGTATGTCATGCATTTTTGAATATTATACTTTA